AAACACTATTCCAACACAGATAGCCCAGTCCTTAACAGGATGAAAGCAAGGCTATGTCATACGGTCAGGGCTGAGAATATGTGTTTGTGGTGTGTTTGGAGAACTCCTCCAGAAGGCAAACATATCTGTAGCTCATGCAAAATTCATGTTATCAGTGTATCCTGGGAGCTTCCACTGCAGCGCTTTCATCCTAATTGGAAGTATGCGAGATCAAAAACCAGAGCACAATGTGGCTTACAATTCAACAGTCTTTCTGTGCAAACACCCAAATCAGTATCAGGTTTAAAATCTGTGCATCCATTTTTTTAAAAAAGAAAGCTTTAGATGTTAAGACTATGAAGAGAGACTTGAAAATGTGTGGGAAAATCTCAAAAGCATTTATTCATTTCATTTATATCTCACTTTCTTCCCAACAGTTCAGTATGTTGCACATACCATAAGGGAGGGGAGTTTAGGGGAATGTGCTGGACAGGTCGAGCTTTGTTTCCTTCTTGTTGGGCGTGGCCAGAGATGCAAGTCTTTTAGCAAAAGCCAAAGGGCTGGCAGCCTTCAGTGAATGTCCCAGTGGATCCAAGGCAAGCTCAGGATGTTGTTTAGCGTACCCTTTTGTTCTTTTTGTCTCTTTGAGTTGTATTCTGGTATTTTTTGTAAGCTGCTTTTGGTCCTCACTGGGAAGAAAGGCAAGATAAGAAATGTATTCAATAAATAAATGACTAAATAAATAAATAAATGGGATTATTCCTGTGTTTTAGGCTGAGAAAATAACTATCCCATGGCATAAGGGAACAATATGGCATAAGATTCAAATCGAGGTTTGTGAGCCCCAGTCCAAAATTTTAACCACTACACTGCTGCTCTTGACGTATGGCTAAGATGGCTTTCAATACTTAAAGAGGTGGTGGCACCAGCTCTGTAAGTAACGTAGACATGGTTGGAAGAAAATGATGTGGTTTGTCTGTCCCAATTAACTTGCCTGGTTATGCGGGCTTTCATCAATCCTGCTTTGGACAGTGGGGAGAAGGGGTGGTTATCATCCTCCATCTTTCCCCTTTTCCCAGACTCTTGCTGCAAACTATTGCTGGCAATGATTGTACACTTCTTATATTGGGAGTCTAAGGACAAATTAGATGTTCTACTGGTTTACCTGCCTGCCTTCTGGGCACCCTGGCTGAATTAAAGGAGGTGCTTGTGGGCATGGTACTGGAGCCACCTAGACTGTTTTGGGGCACTTCAACATTCATGCTGAGGTTTCCTTGCCAGGACAGCTCAGGATTTTGTAGCTTCTTTGTTGGTAGGGTTGCCAGGTCCTCTTTGCTCGCCAGCGGGGGGTGAGAGGGAGCTCTCCAGGAGCGCGGGGGGGGGGGGGACACATCTGCATATTGTAACCATAGTGTTTTGCCCAAAATACCAGAGCGTTGGTCCACCATTTCCCCGGCACGATGACATCACTTCTGCATGACTTCATCAAGCTGGGGACATGGCGCCTGGCTTCCCCCCACCAGTCAGCTGGCCAGTGGCAAGAAGGAACCTGCCAAATCAGGGCAAACTCCCACCTGGGGGCTGGCAACCCTATTTGTTGGCCATAGGCATCTCTCAAATCTTCACGGGCCCAACGTATGAAAAAGGTCACACCTTGGACTTAATCGTTCCCACTAAGACTTTGAGGAAAGGTGTGATTTCCAGGTTGGAGGTTCAGCATGTGCTGTGGTCTGACCACTATCTACTCAAGGAAAGGGTGAATGTGGCTCCAATGTTTTGTAGAGGGGGGCAGTTAAAATGGCCCATCCATGAAGACTCATGTGTCTACTGGATACCAGAATGCTCTGGGGGTTCCAAACAAATGCACTGTGTAGGGCTGCAGCGGGAGCTTGGAACATGAAGCTCCTGTCAGCTATCAACAAGGTTGTCCCCTGTTGACCTCTCCCACCCTTGGGAAACAACCTGTTCTGTGGTTTACCACAGAGCTGGGTGATCTGAAGAGAACTGGGAGTCATCTAGAGCAATGCTGGTGGAAAACTCATATACAATCTGATAAACCATGCTATAGGGCTCTGTGGAGAAATTCCCTCCACCCAAGCATTCACGTAAACATTTCAATAATTGTGATTACTCTGTGTGCTCTCAGGAACCCAGCTACAAACTTGTACCTGTGTGCCTGCAGGAGTTGGGGAAGGAGCCATCAAGCTTCAAGCACAGAGCACTCAATCACTTGGTTATGCTGATGACTCTGGCTGAAGCAGGACAATAGTTTACCACCTCACACCCTGCTAGAATGTCACACCCAAAAGGGTCAGAGTGGGAAACAGCTAAATGACAAGAATGTACTCTCTCCTTCCTTAATCCGGAAGTTCAAAATGATCCTAAGGTGCAATGGACTCAGCAGGCCAGATTATAAATTCTCTAGACACAGAGAAGCAGCTCTCTTCCATTTCCTCTTCCATCTGGAGAAGCTACTTGGATAGGGTTACCAGACTCCCAGTCAGGGCAGGGGTTCCCCCCATTTTGGGGGCTTCAATCCATCGCAGGCCTGCTGGCAGAAGTGACTTCATGCTGGGCACCTTGACACATCAACGCTCTAGCATTTTTGGCTGAAACTCTGTGGTCCACAATGTGAGAGCATTGATGCGTCGATGTGCCCGCCGTGATGACATCACTTCCAGGTGACATCATCGTGCTGCGCATGCAAAGCACACATGAAGAGGATACCAGGACAGACCCGGGAGCCCTCTGCTAAAAGTGAGGTAAGACCTGGCAACCCTGTACTTGGATTTGCACAAGCAATGAAGGACTCTGTTTTTACCTGGGGACTCCATCTTGTCCATGCAGCAAAGGACAATGGGGAGACATCACAAATCATGAGAACTGACATAATGTCTAACTTTAACTACTGCAATTCAAGTAATACTAGCCTGTCCTATTTAAGCATTGTGTAGGGTGAGTACTGAGTGTAGGGAATCACATGTTTTCACCTTTTCTTTGTTCCCTTGCTCAGCCTGAATGCTTGAAGAGACCATCTGCAGTTTTAAAATTCATTTATCAAACTCTCATATCCTGAGTAAGACAGATCTCTGGAAACAAACATCTATTCAGTCTTGCTACCTGAAGTCAGCTAAAGATGAGGGGCAGCAGGTAAACTTGCCATCCCTGGAGTATGATAGCTCGAATTTACAAAGTTGTGATAGATCACCCATGTTAGTTCATAGGAATGGAACAGGCACAGCAACTAGGAGCCTCTAAAATGGCAGGTACCGACTGCCAGACATGAGACTCTGTTTAGCAGGAGATAGTATCATAATTGCTTACCCAGTTTAATTTTGGAGAGTGAGGGGAAGGGGTGGCGTTGCTGAGCAGAGACTTTGGATGGTCACTGATTTTTCCAATTTTCTCGGGTCCAACAAGAAGGAATGGGGAGAGGGAGGTGTGCAAGTCTGTTCCTTCACAAGCTCACTGGAAGACCTATGATGCAGCAATGACAGCAGCAAAAAACTGTCTCTGCTAACACTGTATCAGCTAGTTAACAACATCCCAACTGTATCTCGCCATCTGCTGACTCCTAAATGGGAGCCTTTATTATCTCAGAAACAGGTAATCAATTGTGATGCTTTCGCAAAAAAGTTTGCTGATAAAATCTCTCGAATATGCTCTGATTTGGATGCTAGTAGTAACAAAGCTCAGACAGGAGGTCTGGTCTGTTTATGAACCATTTTGACCCAATTACCATAATGGATATTGAGAGGATCTTCACATCTCTGAAGGCCACCACTTGTACTTTGGATTTTTGCCCACCCTGGCTGCAGAAATCATGTAAGGTCAACATCGAGTTGTTGGCATCCATCATAAATTAATCATTGACTACGGATGTCTTATCTCAGTAACTTGAAGATGTGGTTATCCATTCACTATTTAACAAACCACCACTACAGAAAAATGCTGTGGCCAATTATCACCCAGTCTCTAATTTAGCCTTTCTGGGCAAGGTGACTGATAGAGCAGTGGCAGACCAACTCCAAGTCTTCTTGGCTTACTCATCTGATCTTTACGCTTTTCAATCTGCTTTCAGGCTCGCCTATGGGATGGAGACAGCGCTGTTGGCTTTAGTCAATAATCTCTCTCCATGTTTTCTATTTATATAAAATCATTTCCTGCATTAACATATAATGTCTAATACTTTGTTTTGCTTCAGATTTCTGTAATCCTAGTCCTAGGACACCGCTTCTTATAAATTTCATCGTACTAATTGGCGAACACTATATAATACGCCTTGAGTCTCAGTGAGAAAGGCAGACTATAGATATAGTAAGTAACTAAATAAATAAAGCAATAAATAAAACAAACATTTACTAAAATCACAGAACTGGTCTTTGTATTAACAAATAATTTTTTAAAAGAATATTTATGAACATTCTTACACACACACACACTTCAAATTAGTTCTCCATTCTATGTTTTCTGGTGGCAAATTGTGAAAATGTATGTATTTGTGGTTCCCTTATCATGTTTATTATGCAGTTTATTATGCATGACAGAAAAACACTTGTGGGGCAATTTCGTCATAGGAGAAAGCAGGAGAAAGTAGCACACTAGAAAATGCAATCTCGGTTCTCAGTATATAGCAGGAGATAGGTGAAAAATGTGATTGGTGTTACTTACAAGCCAAGAAAGAGACCATACAAGTACTGTATACATGAACTGATGTGGTTTTACTGCATTTGTCTGCTTGCTTAATTCAAATATGTTGGTACAAAATGGAGGTGCACATCCCATCTCTGTCAGCTGTGGAATCTGATACAGTTCTGTGTCATCACTTTTTGTCCTTCTTCCTAGCTGACACTTTCATTCTCTTCCTCTGTTCTTGGTCAGAATGCAGATATTAGAAACGCTCAGTTGATGCAAATGATGGGTCAACACCAAACACAGAATGGGGTGCCAGTGTGCCTTCATACAGCACAGAGCAGAATGAAAGGGAGGGACATGTTTGTGGGAGGCCAGGGAAAACGGCAAGGGAAATCAAATACCATCACTGCTTTCTCTTGGAGTACATAGTTAAAAACATCCGTTCATATCTAAGCAAATACTTGTCATGATTTAAAGTTTCAGTTTGCAAACAACTTGGAGTAGTGCATCTTACAGTCATAACGTATTCCATAAGGATATGAAGAATGCATAATGTTGGCATAAAAAGAGAAGCCGTATGACTATATATGAAGACAACAGCTACAACTCTCACAGCACTGTCATGTGTTAATTTTCAAATATTCAAGCATAATTTTGTTTTTTAAAAAAGAGGAAAGCTAAACTTAGGCTATGCTACGAAAAAGTAATAAAAAGTCCACATTGGATTGAGTTCTGTTTCTTCCAGAGTATTAATCAACTGTAAACTTAACTTCCCTCCACCTCGTCAGACTTAGTTAATTACTTGCTGTTTAAAACTCCAGTGGCCTGGTCAGTATTTTGCTATCTCTGGAATAGTCTGAATTATTCGATGCTCAAATTTTGGAGGGAAACATGCAAAGATTTAAGTTATCTCCCTCCTCTATTCAATAAACAGTACCATGTATATCAACTTTTCTGTTAGAATAGTGTTGTCTTCACATAAGACTCAAATAATGGTATTAGTCATTCATTTCCTTCTACACATACACCCTATTGCGTGTTGACAGGTTTATAAGGATGCAGTGGCAGCCAGGGGTGCTGGGAGGCTCCTAGACGACAGCCTTTGAATCCTTGCAGTCCTGAGCAATGGTGCCTGAGTTAGTCTGCTTATTGTCTGCATTTTCTCCCAGATGCTTGACTTGTCTGAAAGATTAATACATTAACAAGAGCAGTAAGGTCCAGGGTTGCACATCTTTGAGACGTTTTTATTAGCAGATGGCACATGAGATTCAAAGGTCACCACAAGGGGGGACATTTTAGAGTGAAACAACAATATTTATGTTCAGATACTATGCTGGTGAGATCATGTGGTAAATGTTTCTGATTAAATTAGTTTACAAACAGCCACTATATATCAGTTGAAAATTCCAGCTCTTGCTTTTCTCCTACAGTGCCTGCTTATTGAGGGCTTTCCCCTGCACGGAGGAATGTGCAGCCATCTAACTGCATCCCGTGTGTGGACAATTTGGTTACTTATGGTGGCCTTAATTTCCCCCAAACATTTATTTATTTAAATGTCTACACAATGGTACTCCCGATATATGCATTTCCCCACTTTTTTAAAAAGCAGAAACTGCTTTTAAAGAGGAAATAGTGGGAAATTTGTTCTTTTTCATTTGGATATAACTTGATATCAGGGTACCCTGTACCTACACGGATATATATAAGTGCAGATTTCATCAAGCTGAACATATATCATGGCACTTCTTTCACAAAGCAGAGCCACACAGAATCTGGTACTACCTACAGTGTACTACCTACGGTGTAAAGCAATTCAATTTGACCATTGTGCTGTTCTGCTTTCTATATTGGTTGCTTCTTGTATTTTTAGAAGTCCACTATACAGTGTACAGCTATTCAACCTTTTATTCAGGGAATGTTAATGCACACACAAAAACGCCCCCACTCTTGCAGGTTTCTCCATTCACTTACATTGATGGGACAGTACTCAAAACATAAAGGGAGTCACAGGCTGTGCTCCTTACTGCAATGAAGTGGATGAGCAGTTTATTTGTCTGTGGCCAGCCTGTGTGGACATCCGAATACACACAGCACTCTAGATTGCAGTGGAGAACCTTGTGAGGTGTTTAAATGAATGAAGAATGCCACCTTCAAACTGAGACTGAAAATAACAGTACCTAAGTTTACCTTTACATGGCATATCTTAGCTGACAATGATGAGGGATTCTTTAAATGTGACTTCATACCACACTCATGGTGCTAAGCACAAAATTCATGCAGTAAAAAGACTTTGTTGAAAAGGTTGGTTAAGGGACCACTAGTTAATAAATGTCTAAAGTAATTCTGAAAGTTATTCTTAGTGATGGTGCCAAATTATTACAACTTTTATACAAATGTTAAAGCACAAAATATTATGTTACAATCTAAAGGGTATTTTAATCTTACCTGGCACATCTCATAAACGTATAAGAATACTGAATAGTATCTTACTTTTCAAGAGATCCATTTTCAACCTTTGCAGTTCCATCCACTGGATCCAGGCCTTGTTCTGAAAACTGTTTCAAGGCACTTAAAGCTGCCTGTAACACAGGGAAGTTAAAAAAAAAAGTATTACAACTACCACAGAAAGCATAGACTGCATATGAAGGGTTTTTAAGACGTCAGCTTTTTATCAGGGACATAGCAGGAGGAGGCAAGTATCAGCGCCAAAAATGTATCTTAATAAAGAGGAATAAAGGAACATTTTACCGTGTGTAAATGGGACTGTCCAGCTTTAATGAAGGCTATTATCCTTGTATCAGCTTTGCTAATACTAAAGAACAGGGGAATGCCAGAGTGCCAAAATCACAAAACATATATCTGTAGAGTAGTTGGTATCCTGGCAAGAATGGTGGTGGTGGTGGGTATCTGTATACATAGGCCATGTCTCTGTATTGCCCAGATGCTTGTCATCTTCCTTCATGTATTAATTGGAAGCCAGAAACAAAGACTGTACCACATACTGGGTGGCTGACAAAGCCCACAGGCCCCCCCATCTCTTTCTCCCTCCCCTCGATAACATCTAGAGATACAAAATGTATAATGTAACTTCATCACATTGTGAGTTTCCTTGCTCTCAGAAGTGGCCACCAATGAAGTGTAGGTGTAGCAGGGACACATGCAGTATGATGTCATTCCTTTATGGACATTACAGGAGAAAGGAGGAGATGTGGGGCCATGTTTTCTAGCTGCAGTCATGGATCTGCCAAAATGTATACTTCCAGTCTAAATTCACAGTATTGTAAGCACAAGCGACTTTGTACAATCTTCTTATTTACAAAGTCTCCGACATACAAATGAACTGCTAATATCAAAATATTGCTTCGGGTACTCACACTATTACTATTCTCCAATGTATTAACATAGCTCGTTTTTTACCCATTTGCAGAACGCTCACTGTATTTCTGAATAACAGTAAACAAAAATAAGCAATGGTACTATGATCTCTGTTCTGTCGGAACTCTAGAAGGAGCACTGCCATGTATGAAAGGCACAAGATGCCATTCTGCTGCTGAAGTTAAGCAGGCTCAGTTCTGTGACTTTGCCTGGGTACTACATGTATGCCACTATGTGCTTTCTCCTGGAACAGCAGGGCATAAGTGTTACAAAAATCTCCCATCAGGCTGTCAAAGAGGCTGCTTTCTGTTAAGATGTTTAAAATATTTCGAATGAGAGTTCCTTTCTTAGCAAATAGGATTAAGCAGCCAAAAGTTTCATTGTAGTTTCACTAAGTACTTCTGGTTTTGTTCCGTCTGCAAGGCTATTTTGTAGCACCTTAATGAAATATTAACCTAGCTTCTCACACAGTTTAATGAAGCCTTTCGTGGGAATATCTGTTTCTTTCTTTACCCAGGACATCTCTGAAGGGAAAATCACAACAAAAGTGCAAGTAATGCTGACTGAAAGTTTTAGTTCTCATTCAAAAAATTTCAAGGATAAAAAAGTGAAACTTGTGTATCTGACTTTTTAAAAATTCCTGTTACTGTTGGATTAATTAAGGGCTGGCCATTGACTGGTCAAAAAAGATTTACTCAAATAACCAAACATTGTCAAAAATGGGTGAAGAATCTTTAAACCCAGAAAATCTACAGCAACTAATAATCTTTAAGCCTCTAATTTTATTAAAACAACAAAAATATACTTTCATAGCAACAGGTCTGGTGCTGATGGTAACAGCAGAAATAAGTTAATTATTGTGAAACCATGATGTTTTTGAATATCTGCTCTAGGGGTGTGCATTCAGATCTACCCGACCCGAAAATATTTCGGCTTCCCAAATGTATCAGGGTTTTCTCAGGAAAACTGGGAAAAAATCCCAAGAAAATCCCGGATATATTTGGGGATTTCAGGTACCCTGTTTCCCCGAAAATAAGACCTACCCCAAAAATAAGCCTTGGCAGGATTTCTATGCATTTGTGGTATAAGCCCTAGTGTGTCTTCTTGAGAAAAAATAAATATAAGACAGTGTCTTATTTTCGGGGAAACACGGTAGATCAGAAAACTGTGGAGAGACAGGAGCAGATTGCTCCTGCTTCTCAGCTCCTTGTCGAGGAGTAGGGTTGCCAGCATCCAGGTGGGGCCTGGAGATCTCCTGCTTTTACAACTGATCTCCAGCTGACAGAGATCAGCTCCCCTGGAGAAAATGCCTGCTTTGAAGGGTGGACTCTATGGCACTGTACCCTGCTGAGGCCCCTCCCCTCCCCAAACCCCACTCTCTCTTGTATCCCCCCCCAAAGTCTCCAGGTATTTTCCAACCCAGACCTGGCAACCCTATCAATGAGGCTTATGCAGTTCATTTAAACTTTAAAGTGACTGCAGATATCAGCCCAAGGATCAGCTGGGGTGGTGGGGAGCTGAGAGCTGTGACAGGCTTCTCTTGAAGCCCAATTTAAACCTGGTATTTGGATCTCGGATTTTTCGGGTCCAACAGACCCAAACTGAAAAATACTGGTAACTAATTCCCTTTTGAAGCCGTCCATGCTTGTAATAAGAACATAAGAGAAATCTCGGATTTTTCGGGTCCAACAGACCCAAACTGAAAAATACTGGTAAAACAAATTTGCACACCCCTAGTACACTCCATTCTCATCCAAATGTTGGAGTAGTTCTTTGGGACCTTTGGCCTTTTTTGTTGGATTGGACACAGAGAGTTTAGACCACAGTAGAGTCAATAGAAGACCCTGATGCTGGGAAAGACTGAAGGTCAAAGAAGACGGGGACGGCAAAGGATGAGATGGTTAGACAGTATCATAGATGCAACAAACATGAAATTGAGCCAACTTCAGAGGACGGCGGAAGACAGGAAGGCCTGGCGTGATCTGGTCCATGGGGTCGCAAAGAGTCGGACTCGACTGTGCGACTGAACAACAACAACAAGAGTCAATAGGCTGGGACTGGTGTTGTAGAGTGCCTCACAAGGTTCAGTCTTGTCACCTATGCTCCTCAATATGTATATGAGGTCACTGAATGAGTTCATCTGGAGCTTAGGGATTGGCTGTCATCAATATATGGATGACACTCAGTTTTGTATTTCATTATTGATGCCTCCATATACACCCACCTCAGTTCTGAACCTATGCCTTGAAAATACTCGAGCCCAACCTTGCTGGTCCAAGAGTTTTTTCCATCAGCTGCATCTAGTTCATGAACTTTCCTTTTTCTTAGACTCAGCTGACCTGGACATGCTAATCATTTTGTAACCTTGCGGTTTGACTGCTGTAACATACTCTATGTGGGGCTGTTCTTGAATATTGGTTTAGAATGTGGCACTAGGCCTGGAGAAAGACTATCTCCATATGAACCCATGCACCTATTACTGGTGTCTAGCTATCACCTTCTGTTTGTTCCTGCCGCTTAGGACTGACTGCCAGACACCCACCAGAGCCTCTTCCTTTTCAATAATAGCTCCTGCTTGTGGAATGGGCTCTCTGAGGAGGACACTGTTCTTAGAAAGTTTTAGGAAGCACTGTAAAGCTGTTTTATTTGATAAGGCTTTTAGTTGGGCTTGAGCAGCAGACATTTTCTTGGAGGAGGCAGGTTAATGGTGCTTTACTGTATTATGGCTGGTCAATTTAAAATTGTAAGACACCTTGAGCCATAAGAGAAGGTAGGAGATAATACCTTTTAATAAGCCTGCCCATAAGCCTGCCCATACTGTTGGATGATGGGAAAACAATCTGCATTATACTCTTACTAACAAATGATACCATATGAATTGATACCATATGAAATGAAAAAGGTAAGCTGCCAACTACACAGTAGCATTCTTGGCTTCATGGAATATTTGACTACATTCAAACTGACAATACATCCAACTGACAATATCAGACCACTCTGACTGGTGAGACAATCCTAATTGCAGGTGGCACTCTAGAAAGGTGTCCCACTAATCATGTAATGAGTTGATGTACTACATCCTGCAGTTTGTCACTCTTCAGTGTTCTGACTTACTAGATTTCTTGTGCAAAGGATAATGAAAAAGATCCAAGATCTCCCATAAGAGGTTTTCTGCATGGTGTCCCTCTTCCTGGATATTATCCTGTCCTTGCTCCATTGCTGGAACTTTCCCCCTTAATACCATTTTAAAATTATATCACTTGCAGTGATGCACATTTCAATCATTTTCACTGGAGTGCTATGCACATTTCTTTTAGCAGAAGCTGAAAACTGATCAATACAAAATCCCAGAGCTGGTGTCTTTATATTCTATATTACGACCCACCCCTTTTCAAAGCATTGCATCAATACATACTTGTGCATTTTGCTCTAGAAAACACCATGAGAAGGTAGTCTTTGTGCATAGGAAACACAGAAGATAGGTCTGGACAGTAAAGGGGAGAAGGGTGAGATTAAGTTAACTGGCCACAAAGCATTAGCTGGTTGAGAGAACAGTATCTGTGTGCTGCAGCTGTTAACATGACAAAACTAACATTGCAATCCTAAGAAGAGTTACACCCTTCTAAACCTATTGACTTCAAGAGTTTTACTGGGGCAGACAAATCTTGAAAAACCATTTTCCTACCAGAATAGCTGGGAACAGGACTGTAATAGGTCTATATCGAACCAACAGTGGCAATCTATTTGGAGGTCCTCAACTTTATAGTCACACTCTATTGATATCAAAATGCAATCATTTAAGATCTTAACAAGGTGCTATTTATACCTCAAAAACTACACTATATATACCCCTCCATGAGTTCTCTGTGTTGGAAAGGATGTGGATCAACTGCTTCTTTCATCCACTGCTGGTGGTCATGCCCATGTATAGCAGATCAATGCAATAACAGGTTACCTTATTCCAATCAAGCCGGAATTATTATCATTATCTTTTTGGGCAAACTGATTGGGAGGGCGGTGGCGACGCAGTTACAGGGATTTCTAGATGACGCTTCCGTCCTTGATCCATTCCAGTCTGGCTTTCGCCCAGGGCATGGGACGGAGACAGTGCTGGTTGCCCTTACTGACGATCTCCGTAGACATCTGGATTGAGGCGGTGTGGTGGTGCCGTTGTTGTTAGATCTGTCGGCCGCATTTGATACGG